AAAGTAGTGTGTGTGTGTGTGTGTGTGTGTGTGTGTGTGTGTGTGTGTGTGTGTGTGTGTGTGTAAATCAGGACTTCTAACATTTATGTTAAAAGCCTTATGTATTGGGAATTTTAAATTCAAATTTGCACTTATTCTGAGCATTTGCCCCTGCAGTTTATTGTACTAGATTCTAGAACCAAAAACACTTGGATTTAAGCACATGTATTGCTTTTCAGTAAACCAAGGTTCTTTTGTGAAATTGTGACTACTGCAAAATCAAGACGTTCATAACCCTTTAGGCATGAGGATGATCTCAGTATCTCACTTTTGTGGCTGGAATGTAAAAACGAATCTGGTCTTTGTTATATTGTTAGATGTTACAGTTTTGAAAAACAACCTCCTCCCACACAATCACAATTGGTCTTCAGAAGAGCATGAATACAGGCTTTGCAGATCAGCTTGAAGTCATCAGATTATTTCTTACCCTTTTATAGATCACACATACCAGCAAGAGACCAACAAATTTGTCTCAGCATTGCAATAGATGTAGTGCTACAAATTGGATATTTATTCATGGAAAGTGCCTTTTTATGCTGTCCAAATGTCTTTAAAGTGTCAGAGTTTGAGACTTCTTTCACTGATGTCTATTTTCCAGAATGAAAAGAATGTATTAGGTTATGTACAAAATGCAAACAATTTGGTTGGTTAGTATTATCTCTTATCAGTCTGGACAGAAGGTCTGAAGATGGGCCAACATTTTTCAATGACTTCTGAAATTTTAGCACAGTGATTTAACTCACTTGTTTGAGCAGGCAGTGAAGAAACCCAGTAAATAAATTGTGGAAAATGTAGGGGGAAATTGAAATCTTTAGGCTAATTTTTATATATCTTATAGATTTTTAGAGAATCCCAACTCATGCAGTTTACCCACAGAAACCACCAGAATACCTAGTGATCATTGGATAACTTAAGTCCTCCAGCCGTTAGTGTCTTAAAAAAAAAAATTAGTGACATGGAAAAACTTAATAATCCTAATAAGAATCCTGATGCGTTTAAAGAACTGTACAAGATTAAACCACTGTTCTACTTGATGATTGCTCTTTAATGGCCCACATCAACATCCTTTTGTGATTTTTGCAAAGAATGTACTCTTTGGCTTCAATAGCTATAAGTGAGGTATTACCAATGTACATGACATTTGCAGTTATATAGGACAGGATGCTAAAGATGCTTTCATCTGAGGACAAGATGCTAAGGTGCCTATTGAGATGAATGTGCTTAGATGCATCCTCTCACTCTTTAATTGTATTGTTTGCCATTTCCTGTCTTGTACATATTGGCAGGGCACTTGGGATGGAATCCTGCTCCTCCTACACACATCCTCCTCTGTAGCGGAAATGAAGTAGAACTACTACTGTAAGCTTTTCAGGGCAGAGATTGTTTCTTCCTGTATGTTTGTACCACATCCAACACAATGGAGTCCAAGTCTCTTCGGAGGCTCTAGATGCAATAGTAATGTAAATATTAATAGTTAATTATATGGGTTGGGTCAGGGAACAGAATGGCTGCACTGAATGCCAGGAAGCAGTTCACTCAGAGGGAAGAAGGTCAAAGGTGGTCCCAGGGAGTGGCCAGAGTGTGATTTAAGGGGGCAAACTCCACATAGGAGAATACAGTGCCATGGCCACTATTGCAGTCAAAATGCTAAGTGTCCTGTGGCCTGCCTACAAATAGAGGTGGCCATAAATTTACCTTTTGCTTTGATTCCCCACATAAATCACATTTACTCAGACTATGCCAGGGGACATTAATTTCATTCTTAATGACTGTGGCCCACTTGCAGGTTCAAAGATAGAATGAAAAAATACCTAATTTGTTCAGACTCTAAAAGTTGTTTTCCTAATCAAAAGGCAGAAAGAAACCTTTTAGAGATAAAAGGAAAAGTACAAATACTGTACAGCAGCACAAACATGTGGCTTGTCTTGAGCCAAGTGGATTATCTTGCAGTACAGTGTACTAACACTAAACCATAACACCAGTAATGTGCAAATCTGAGTTTGAGGGTTGTTCAAACATTTTCCCCACTCCTCAAAATCACAGAAAGTCTCTGTGCTAAATAACTTTCTCCTGTTCCCCTGCAAAAACAGTATTCAGCTGCCTTCCAACTGTTTATTATCTTTGGTGGGATGGTTTAGTAGTTCTAAATGTACTGCATTGTAAAACATGTAGGACTACTTTGCTTTTATTCAGTCCATGTCATGAGCTTTGCATTTAAGCCTACCACATTTAAAGAGGTCAAAAGAGCTTTTAAGAACTGACTTTATAAAAGACAGCCAACATTTGCAGAAATACTAAATCTCACATGAAAGAATTGCAAAGCAAAAACCTGACAGTACAGGAGTTTCTAAGACTGTACTGATTAATTAAAAATAATTTATTGGCATATTCCTGTATGTAGGCTAAAATTTGAAAATGTCGAGTGTGTACTTGTACATATTTGTGAAAGCAGCTTCAACAGATTTTTAAGCAAGAGGGCTTACTCACAGATATATGCTCAGAACAGGAAAGAGACTATGGGATTGTACGAGAAGAATATTAATCTGTTTAAAAAAAAAAATCAAAATCTTTAGAGGCTTACAAAAAGGCGGCTTTTTTTTCCCTCATGCTCCCCTTGAAATCAAGGGAATCATTATTTTCAGTGAATTTTATTAGGGCACAAAGGAATTATAACTGATGTGCAAGTAATCAAGGGCCCTGTCCCAAAGTGTTAATTCTTTTCACCTTCACATATCCTCAGGCACCATTTTTTGTATGGGGTGGAAGGGTGGAGCTAGCATATTCCTTTGGCCATATGTAAATTTATGTTGGCATCAAACACAAACAATGGAGTGTTTTCCATTATATTCCTCCCAAATGGTACTACTGCTTCCTGTGCTCTTTTCCTGGTCCCTCTCTATGAAGGTCATAATCATCCTTATTTTCTTCTGTCCTTTCACCCTCCCTCATTGTTTCACTCATCTTCCAGTCCTCTCCCTCCTAGTCCCTTCCTGTTTATTTTCCTTTTCTGGCCTCTATTGTTCCGTTTAGTACTATGACAGTGCTTTCTCATCGTACCCTGCTCTGGTAACAATGATTGATTCCCAGTTCCAGCTAAAATAATACTTAAGAAAACTGGGTTTAACATGGCTACTGTCACTCACACAAAAATCATTTAGTTAGACCTAGCAGCAATGCTACAAGAGTTAATTGAACATCAGTGTGATAGAAAAACAAAAATGGAAAAGTATACACATTTTGGACTGCACAGCTATGAGATGTATAAACAGTTCTGATGAGGGCATTATGAAGAACACATAAGTGAACCAAATTCATTTTAAGCCAGCTAATGTTTTTTTGGTCCCACTTCCTTTCCTGCTATTCTTTCAGCCCTTCTTCCCATTCATGATAGATTTCTTCAGTCTCAGCCCCTTTCTTTTTCTTCTTTCAGAGTTCTGACACCAACTTGATAGTTGTGAACTGACTGAACTCTATGGGTATGTCTTCACTACCAACGTAGCGCTTTAACATGGCTTTGTAGTCACGGCACCAGTGCTGGGAGAGCTCTCCCAACGCTATAAAAAAAACCCACCCCCATGAGGGGAGTTAGCTACCAGTGCTGGGGGCGCGGCTCCCAGCGCTGGTGCACTGTCTACACTGCCACTTTACAGCTATGAAACTTGCATCGCTCAGGGGGGTGTTTTTTTACACCCCTGAGCACGAAAGTTTCAGCGCTGTAAAGTGGCAGTGTAGACAAGGCCTAAGAGAAACCTTCAATTCTTGATCAGCAGAATTTCTCTGTATTTTTATTTCTCTGTATTCTCTGCATACAGAAACAAAAAAATCATTCACAGATATTAATAAAAGCAACAATATGCCTACTAAAGGCAGAAAATAAGTGTCCATACGTTTATTATGCCTACAGCTGTCAGCAAACTCTGGCAATGAAAGTGAATGGATTTCTTCAAAAACACAAACCGCTCTAGATGGCACAACTTCAATTTTGTTATTGGCAGCACGGTTAGCTGTTAAAATACATGAAGAGCTTTTCATTAAAATGTGGATGCTTTCGTCTTAGTGACCATTCTGTATGAGAACACTTCCTTATATGGTGGCATATTAACTATGGCATGATGAGCACTATAGGACAGAGTAATTTGTGGAGCTGTATCATTTCTTAGCAGATTCTGACAACAGATGCACAGAATTTAAAAATATGCTGCAATGTTCATTCTTGGTTGTACAACTGATACTAACAGATGTGGTATAAGTTCTCTATTCCAGAGTCCATATTCCCATTTTCTTCTCTTTAGGACTGGCACAAAGTGCCTATGCTTTTGTAATTGTCTCGTGAACTGTACTTCTCAAATACTGGGAATTGGCCAGCTAGCGCTACCTAGACTTTTTATATAGACTTGGTGATATTTACAACTGGATTGTATGTAGCTTCTAAGAAAGAAACACGACTGTATCTTGCTCTCCTATATATGTTGCCCCTACATGGTATTACTTTAATATTTTTGGTTGCCTTCTAGGATGGCCGCCTGCGAATAAATGACCAGCTGATTGCAGTGAATGGAGAGTCTCTTCTGGGGAAATCCAACCATGAAGCCATGGAGACACTGAGACGTTCCATGTCTATGGAAGGGAACATTCGCGGGATGATTCAGTTGGTGGTTCTCAGGAGACTGGATAGACAAATGCAGGTGATGCAAAAAACTTGTTCATGAGTTAGACCTCCTTGTGGTAAGCAAAGTATTGTATTCACAGTTCCATTAATAATAGCTATTGGGGCAATTCTCCATCCACCATTTTGAAAATATCTTCCTATTTCTATGTGCGTCTTAAAGATACTGGGTGAAAAATCTTGGCCTCATTGAAGTCAATGGCAAAACCCCTAATTGATTTCAATGGGGTTACAATTTCACTCACCGTATGGCTTTAACTAACACTTAAAAAATAAACTCATTTAAATTATAGTTCTGACTCCCTAAACCTGGCACATCTCTGCACTGATTCAAAAGAGCGCATTAGTACTTGCATTAAGCAAAGCCACTTTTTAAAAAAGTTACTACAGTTTTGAATTCTTGAATTTTTTGAACTCAACTCTAGGAAATGAGGTAAACGATCTGTCTGTGTGCCTTTACTATTCTTGTAAAGAAATATGCTGTCTGCCCTTGGCTTCTGGAGGTGCTTATCCACCCGTCACACTAATTTTAACGTTCACTTTTAAATAACAATTTTTTAGTGGATTTTCAATATATATACTGTTCACAAGAAACAGATACAACTGTGATTAAGATCAAAAAGAAAAAAGGGCCTTTAGAAATCACATGATAGTACTCTGGGTGAATGTTTGAGAATAATATTTTGTGTATGTATTTATGTATAAAAGATAAGAGAGAATGGTTGTTCTGTGGAAGGGAAGCTGTCTTCCCTTAAGCTGTGAATAGTTAACTCTGTATGGTAGATTCCACTTCACTAGTTATATTTAAACTTGCTTTACCTCCCACCTGGATTGACATTAAAAAAAAAATTGCTAAATTTTATACTGTTACTGCACTGGGAAGTTGCTTTTCACAAAGGCTGTCTCATGTGGATACACTGTGACACAGCAGAGGGGAGACAAGGAAAGCAAGTGTGTACTTTACCTGGGGCATTTTCTGAGATTACTGGCTAATATTTTCAAATCTTTTCCTGTAGGAGACGTAGACCCTTTATAGTCTTATTACCACAATTAGACAATCGATGGTGATACCACTCTAGACAGGTTGAAAGCATATTCTAGGGTTATTATACTTAAATTTAAGAAAACTGCAGTTGAATCAATTTGCTATCTTTCATGGTCTGTACCTCATGTAAAACTAGTATTATGCATTTATATTTATTCTGTGTTCTGATGAAGTATGAATGATAATCCACCGACTGAGAAAACTAGAAAGAAAGCTTATCATTGCTACCTTCTATTTTTAAAAAGTCAACTTTGGCAAAAATACTACAACTGAATTATTGATGTAATAAAAATACAAGAAGCTGCTTTTCATAGTCAGAGTATATAGTTTTATACATTACCCAGATGTATGAAACACATAAACAATTCTGACACATGCCCTGTGAAGAATACATAATGAGCTCTTGATTGAATCAAATTCATTTTAAATAGAAATTAATTTTTATAGAATGTGCTCGAGGTTCAATTGTAATTCCATTTGAGGCTGGAGACTATAGCAAAATGGGCCATGACCCATTCTTTCCCTTCCCCAAAACTGTTTCCTGCCTGCTACATTCCAGCTTGGTATAAACAGAATATGTTTTAAAATCCATTATTTGTTTTATTGGTCAGGACACTAATGGAGGCCTTCCTTGACAGCTCTGTTTTACAAGCTGAATACTCTAATTAAGCTGGTTACTGATCAGTTGTTGGGATATCGATTGTGTCATTTATCAAAGAGCTGGAAAGCAGAGTTTTTTTTTGGGGGGGGGGGGGTTGTTAATTTAAGGCTGCCTCTCCCAGTGGATCCCCATCTTTAATTTAGTAGTAGTAGTTTGTATCAGTGCAGGGGTTGATTTTAGTCTGCATTATACTTGCAAAAGGTAATAGATGTGGATCACTTGGCATAAGGAATAAGTGTTAAATCTTCCCAATGTAACTTCAAGAATTCTGGTACACCGGAGGCATGTACAATTGTTAACCATGGGTGTTCCCCATAGTAAAGAGACTCTGAATATACTATTTAACTGTCTGTGAATGGAACATTCTAATGAGGTGGAGGGGAAAACAGTCAACATGTTATTTGGCCAGTGGCTACTGAAAGAAAAGAAGAAGCTTATGAGACTAGGTCTGTAGCTGTCGCTGTGTTGTCACCAGTAGGCTCTCAAAATTGATGAAGTGGTCTTAGTAAAGGTGGCCTTATGGCCAGCCTGTCTTTCTCTGGAAAATCACTAGTCTTATCAGGCAAAAGAAGAACCATGTAATGATCAATGGCAAATGGCAACGCTCACTGACAGATGCGAAAGTGAGAAGGGGTGCAGATGTTGGCAGCCACCACCACCTTGTGACAGCTTCCATCAAGGTAAAACTGAGAAGTGTGGGTCCACCAAACAAGGGACAGAGACATTATGATATTGACAAGCTAAAGTCCCTTGAAATACAGAGAGCCTTCGTTCTGCAGTTAAAGAACAGGTTTGAAGCACTTGCAGATCTTGATGAAGAGAAGGGGAATGCAGATGTGGAGATCAACAAGAAGTTGGACAAAGTAACAGCAATTTATAAACAGAGCAGTGAAGCCTGTCTAGGCTACAGGCAGAAGAGAAGGAAGTAGTGGGTTACACCCAGCACATGGAACGCCATAGTAACCCTGAAGAAAAAAGTTTTAGACACAAAATCCCCGAAGCAAAAGGACAAATACCATGAGCAGTATAGCAAGGCACACTGGGAGGTCAAACGCCTTGTGAGAGCAGACAAACTGCATTATATTGATAATCTAGCAACACAAGCAGAGGATGCAGCTGCTTGTGGTGAACAAGGA